AAGGCTGATTTGACATTACATAGGAAACACCAGCATCCAAAAGCAGACTTCTGGAACGCACAAGTACATATTTTTTCTACTTTCTTCCCCCCCCGCCCCGGTATCTTTAAATATGGACATTTCAAGTAGGGCCATTATGCTGACCTGCATCTCACCCCTATAAAAAGCTGAAAGCACTGATGAAAATGCTCCATCCTGCTGGAGATGCAGATTTGTGTTTGCCAAAGGTGCCACGTGCTCTGCTGACCAGACTTGTCGTGAGTTCTTCATTTCCTCACCAGGTGGAGGGAAAGTGAACATGGTTGTCAAACAGGAGCAGAGAAGGATTGGATTGGATTGAGCTAATCTGAAGCAGTCCATGCTAGGGAAAGGTGTTCAGGATTTTTAACCATTATTTCTGTTCATTGCATTAAAAATAATATTCCCAAGAAAAGAAGTTAGTTTTCTCCCTCTGCAGTGCGTAGTATTTTTGTTTATTTTTTATTAAGAGGTGATAGGGATAGACTTGTCCTCATATACACGTACTGAGGTATGATCAATAACCCATTCTGAGTGCAGATTGACTATTTTAAGAGTCAACAGCAAAGCAAAAGCAATTCTGTAAGTCTCTATACCCAACTTATTCCCAGAATCAATTTTACTTCATTGTTTAAAAAAAATTTAGCACCACTTCCAAAGCATTACAAAAACAAATCAGCTGACAGTTGACCATTCTTTAGAAAGCAAATTCTTGTTAACATGCAAAGTTTCTCATCACACCAGCTTCCGTTCTGCATCTGCAATGTTAATTTTTGAAGATGCCAGCACAAAACCATTCTGTATTCGTTGACTATTTTTACTGTGATTACAAAGCATCACACTAGCTATTTTTACTGGGTTTCTTAAGTTTCTTAAAGAACTCTAAGATACAGCTGAGAACATAATGAAGTTATGTGAAATATTTACACAGAGTTTATTCTAAGTTTTTTTCTTATGATCTGTAAAATATTTAAAGTGAAAATACATCTTTCCCCTCTCACACATGCATTTATATGAAGTTCCTTCTTTCCTTCTGTTAAAATTTAATATGATTTCGGAAATACTTACCTCTGATGATACTCAAAAGATTCAGAGCAACCGAAAGTCAGATCACAGCAGTCTTACAAGAGACCTTAGAATAGTAGTTACTCATAGGGTAAAATGTCATCTTTTAGTGATGTTTGTCTTCCATAAAAGGATATTTTTAATATATCAAAAATACAAAGTAAAAATAAGCAAATTAGTAACAGACTACTAAACTTCATCCTAGAAAAAAACATGGGCTAGACCAAACATTTCTAACCAATACAGTTTGCAATACAATTAGAAATCATGAGTAGCTAAAGGAAAAGTTGCGTTTTTTATTTATTCAGCTTTGTGCTACTTTGATGTACAGAGAGCTTGATTCTTGGCAACTGTCAACACACCAGAATTTAACTGAGCACCAGGAGCACAGACAATTAGTTCTCAAAATGATTAAACGCAACTAAACCTAATTGTACTGACAGGCATACTCAATTCCCAGATTTTCTGAGGTCCTCTATTCTTCTGTCAACAGTACGCCTACATACTCCAGAACCAACAACTGCAAGGACGACATGCCGCTGCCACATGAACAGTATTTTAACACAGCTTGAAAATGTACTGCAGCAGAATGTGTTAGAAGTATAACATCTATACTTGATAAATAAATTAGAAAATAAAGTTAAAGGTATTAAAGGTATAAATGGGGCAACCCAGAGAATACAGAGCTGACAAAACTAATGAGCATCTGGAATGGATGGTTCTTGATGTCCATGTGTTTTTAATAATATTTTACAACTTAAGGAACAGCTTCTGTTTCTGGAATGAAATAATCCTCTATTGCCCTTCTAATTGATTTGTTAGCTCTCAGATCAAAGACAAACAGGCAACTATTCTAAATTCATTCATTTCTTGGACTACAAAACATGACTGACTGACTGAATGAACGCATGTTTGAATGTAGTACACATGCAACAAAAGACCTATTCCTTTGAGAGTACAAGACACTTCTGAAACGCCTCACTGTACCTTCAGTTAAGACGATGCTTAACCTTAGCTTGGTATGAGATGAAGAAAATAATAGTGAAAGACAAACAAACAAAAATGCTCCAAATGAGAAACACAAAATCCAGAAATCAGACATGCAACCATTAAATCCAAAGCTTTAAGATTGTTTTTTATTTACTTACATGTTATGGGACAAAAATGAACCAAACTTCAAAGGAGTCTGCTCCCTCAGAGCCAAGTAATTACATCTACAGTTGCTGTCAACTGGGAAGTGAGCATCTCTAGCTGTCTCTCCCCTGAAATAATCCCAAACAGCCTGTTGTTCCAGGCTCTGCTCAGAACCTCTTGGCGCCACCAACGTCTTCTCCACAGGGCTGTGCTTACAGATCTCTTCTCCCCCATACTTCTGCAGGCACCTCGGCATCGCCTAATGCTGAGGTGCCTGCACTACTGCTCTCCCACCGGCATGGGTCAAGTTAGCACAGGCAGGAAACAGAAGGCAAAGGGAAAAAAAGAAAACCCAAACCCAAATCCAGATGCTATGCTTTTTGAGGCTGCACAATTTCCTCAAACTAGCTTTTATTAGCAATAACTATTGTTCATCTGATGAGCATTCCCAAATCACAGCTATAAAAACAGAAATCATTTTAATTCCTTTTATAGCCAATCACAAAAGCACATACAATATACACTACCTAAATTTACTGTGACGTTTTGGGGTTTTGGTGGGTTTTTTTAATTCTACATCTATTGGAGAAATCAAAAGGGTCACACAAAAAGCTCTGACAGTAATAGATGCCCTCCAACAGAAAGACAGCAATCAATTACAAACCATTTGCAGAAATTGTAGAGCTGTCACAGACTCATTTACAGCTGCAGTTCCAGTCAGACTGACTCTGATTGCCAAGCCGTTTTCCCCCCTTGTACCTACAAAACTAGGACAGCTTCAGATAATTTAAAAAATGACACTAGCAGACCTGCATGCCAACTCAAGAAATAAACTGCAATATGGCATGGGCAGTTACTTCAGCAAATTGTGCACAGACCATTAATAATGCAATATGTGACAGATTTGAGGCTGGAGAGAGGGCAAGGGGCAGACCTGTCTGTACCCCACTGCCCCTTTTTTTTTTGAGCTTTAATTGCAGCACGTAATTTAGAGCATTGGAACAAATTTAGTGCATTCAGAGCAAAAACTAGCGTACATGAATTGTTCTCAGTGTATTTAAATCCTCCTGAACTCTCCCTAATTTTCTGTCATCTGGTGCATTTGACACAGGCAATCAGGATTGGCTTTGTTTTTTCTGCTAAACCAAAGCTGACGCCCCAGAATCTCCTCCCCTCAAGGAGGACAGGAGCTCAGCCGTGCATGTCTGCACAGTGCATTGGGGGCAGCAGGTACCCCGGGCGAGCAGGGCACCCTGAGGCACCCAGGAGAACCTGGCCAAGCACCAGGCTGCTGGTGCAACCAGCCACCGAGACATCCTACGCCTTGGAGTCACCTCTGCTGTGCTCCCGCAAAGATCCCTGCTCCAAAAACACTGCAGAAGCCCTAAAGCAGGATAGTAGAGAAATCCACATTATCCTTTCCAAAGGAACGATGTGTCCTAGGAGGAGAAAACTCCAGTTTATTCTTGTCTAGTTGCAAAGATTTTTTGGGAGCGTAAACAATGTGTTACACAGGATATAGATTATCTCTGTGGGAATCCCCCGTGCAGCAGGGGACGGGCTAAAGACCCACAATCACTGGGCTTCTCCTTACCCTCAGGGGAAACTGCATAAAGTCACCTATAATAGACTGAAGTAAACTACAAAGTAATGCCAAAAGTAGGAGAGGGTCACAGCTCCTCTGGGTAGGTATGGCTAGAGGCGTAATATATCTTCCCTGTTCTGGTCTTCTGACTTTTTATGTTCTGCCTTATCTCTACCAATTTTTCATACAACCTGGTACAAGACAGTAATATATTCCAGAACCATAAAAACTCTAACTTAATTTCTGTTATGCAAGAGTGTAACGCAAGTGTTATCACAAATTTGCTTGGAGATACAACCAACTCATCAACAGAAATAGCAAAAACATAGAATCATAGAATGATTTGGGTTGGAAGGGACCTTGAAGATCATCTAGTTCCAACCCTCCTGCCATAGGCAGGGACACCTTCCACTAGACCACATTTCTGTTGTCAGAATGGCAATGCCTAGTAAAATCATGGCCACCAACATGAAAACACTACCCATACTAGCAGTTGGGGGATTCAAAACAACATGCACTTGAGTTGGACACAGGTTGCAATTTGACTGACTCAGAGCAAAATGGATGAAAAATTGCTCTTCGAAGACCAATGCATTCAAAGGTGGACACTAATTCTGGGGCTCCCTGCCTCAGCTTCCAAAGTCGTGACCAAGAGAAGGTCTGAGCATCCATTACTTCAGCTGAAGTCAAACAGTAACTGCAGACACATAAAGGTTCCCCAAATTAGGGAGGGGGAATCACTGGTTCTCAAACACTGCACCTCTCCAAGTCTGCAGTCCAGTCTAAAACTACTGATGTTAGGTGAGTGTTGCTATGGTCACTGTGATCTTAATAACAAGCCCTAGAAGTATCAGCAAAAAGAAAACGTGAACCAGACTGAATCCGTTGGAAAGCTGTAGCAGCTTTACTGTTCTCTGCAGAACTGGGTTCAAGCAACACAGAAAGATGAATTTGACAAGTCTCCACCTGTTTGCCATTTGCCCCCATCACACTGCTTTTGGAGGTGCAGCAGCTATGCCATAAATGTTGACCTGTCAACGTGACCACAAGATAACAAAACACTAAGTACAGCTAACATGCATAAAAAAATTTCCAGATTAGTGCCATAAATTAAATTCTTTCCCACAAAATGCCGAGCATTAACACTGTAACACTGTCCTTTTGTTCGTAAGGATTGTTATGTCAAGCATGTTCTTACCCTGAAAGGTGGATCAGTCTTCTCCCTGTGTGGCGCTTGGTCCAGAGTGCCATCAGTACTGCTCCTTTTCAAGCTGGATGTGACATCAGGCACATTACTAAAATCTGTATTCAAAAGAAAACAAATAAATTAGAGGGTTATAGGTCAGGAAGAGGAAAAGTATTTGCTTTTATCTGCAAGTATTTTCAGTGTCTAGTAGAATTACTACAGAGGGAGAGAAGGAATATAAAATTTGCGATCCTCCCCACTCCCCAGAAAATAACACACGAGGTCAAAGCAAGGAACAACTATGCCTGGAAACTCTGCTTTCAAAACAGCAGCTGGACATCTAAAACCATCTGAAGCAGCGCACATGTTTGATCTACAAAAATAAACTTAACGCTCTTGTTAACAGCGTGCTTTCGAAGGCAGCATTATCTATAATCAGCACACTCTGTGCTGAGACAACCAGTGAGGATAATTAAATGCACTCAGTAGTTCTCCTTGGATGAGCACGCTATTGTTCGACACAACTTAGTCCTGAATCCTTTAAAGATCTAAGAAGAAAAGATAATTTTTTCTTTGGAACAAGCACCACAGGTCATAAAACGGACAAAACCCTTTCTTGTTACTAACAGTTTACCAATTTTACTAAGTTTGGAGTCCATGTACATAGTAGCTGGCACCATGCAAAACCCAGAGGAAGCACTGCTCTACCTATTGACGAACTGCAGTTTTCAATAACATTTATGTATAAACTCAAGATTTATCCAATAATACTGAACATTCATATAAAAATGATGGGTTTTCTCTTTACATTTCCTCAACTGGCTGCTTAAAATCTGCAGAGATGTTTACATGAAAATTCTACTTAAAATTCTTAGAAGTGAAGCAAATTTCTCTGATTTTTAAGCTGCAGTAGCTGAAAATCATACAGCAGCCACCAAAAAAATAATGAGGAATTTTAGCAACCTCAGATGAATAGGAATAAAATGAAGGGGGTTTTAATTTATTGCTTTGTTTTCTAAGCCTCTAGAGTATAATGCACACCACGTTACCACATTTTCAAAGTCTTTCTCAACACCCACAAATGCTGGAGATTTATTTTTAAGTGAAAGCTGAGATTCTTATTTAGTTACTGACTCCAGCAACTGAGGTGATAATTAAGAAAAATATCACTCATCTTGCAGGAAAATCAGGGGTATTAGCAATGATGAAATTGTGAAGGACAACAGTATCTCTCTGCCTGGGTGTTGCTGTTGCCCTATCCATGCAGAGCAGGACCAGCTCCTCTCAGCAAGAATTGACAAACATGGGCTGAAGCAGGGAGGGAAATGGGAATTTTAGGCCCAAAAAAGCACCTTATGGCCCATGAGGAGTCTTCCCGGGAAAACAAAACATGGCAGACAGACTTCATAGGAAAGCCAGGGAGAAAGAGGCAAGTAACTCAGTATGATGTCATCTTGATACTTTATTTTTCCATAAGTTATTAAGGTTCCTATGCCAAGCTTAGCATCGAGGCTGACACTTTCCACTCAGAGGCCCAAAACTTGAGTACTCTGTCATTCCCCTATCCTTGCAGAACCAAGGTCCTATCGCTTTTCTCCCCTCAAGTGTTTTTCACCTTTTCATCCTGGAGTTAGGTGTGGCTCCTGATATCTCAGAGCCTACATAAAATGCAACACCCCAGGAGTAAACACTTTTGCAGACAAAACATACTTTACACAATTTCACCAGCCAGCCACCCATCTTCTTTAAGAACTCAACAAGAAGTCTGCTATGTCTATTTATTTTATTCTGCTTTTACCTCCTCTTCCTCCACCATGCTCAAATAATTTTCTCCTGTCCTCTGGACTTGTAATTTTGAGTCCCTCTTCTGTATATGGGTACACATGAATACCTATTGCCTTCCACCACTGTCAGCTCCTGGGTTCACAAAAGGTAAGCTAATGCCTCAAACATTAATTGACTTTTAAATAACAATTTTTCTTGGGGGTAAGGTGATGCCAAGAATATGGTTTACCATTTGTGCTCTTTTTACTTTTGGGTTTTAATGCACTTCTCCCCTGTACCTCCAAACAACATGCACCTGAGACAGATTTTGCAGTGGCATAAAGGACCTAGTGTTGGATCCCAGGTAGTTATCTAAGGAGAAAAAACCCCTATGTTCTTTCCCTGATTTTACAAAGTGACCATTAAACATTTTTTTCCTTCACAAAACAGGAAGTAAAACTAACCTACGTAAGCAATGAAGAGAAAGCATAAATGTAGGAAGTGGAAAAATAAGGTAAAACAATGAGCAGAAAACACAAACAGAAGAAATCAGGATAACCACAACCAAAGTAGGCAAACTGAGTATCATATCACTTTGTCAAGATGATCTATCTTTTCCTCCTTTCACCCTCATTTTTGTTTTTCTTTGTAGTCTATAGGACTGTCAGAGGTAGGTCTACACAGTCTTGCCCATTTTTATGGCATTTGCTATTGGCAGAACGTGTTGGAGATGGTAGTTAGAGTAAGCAACAGTAAATGTTATTTTAAATAGTAAAAAAAAAAAAAAAAAGAAGGTGAAAAAGGACATCCTACTGCATGTTGTATGCCAAACTAACAGGGGGAGGGCAGGAAGGAAGGACGTATGGCTTGTTGATCAGTTTAGCATCCATATCCTGTCTCCCTTTCCTTCTTTTACTGTGGAAGCAGACTTCCTTTGGATCTGCTCCTACAAACCATCAAGCTATTCCCAAAGAGCACAGAAGCATCAACATCAGCTGCACAGCTAAAAAAAACCCAAATCAACAGGCAAAGAAAATGAGTATTACCTTAGAGGATGGATAATTTCAAATGCAAAGCCTAAGGACATAAACACAGCAGCAAATTTAATACTGAAATTCTCTCTACTTCTAGTACTAAATGGAAGGGGAGTAACAAGCCAAATAATATGAAGTGTATTTTCTTTAAACATTCAAATTTGGATTTAGCTCTACAATGGCATTCATATTAACAAAGATGCTCAAAAGTAGTAATGTAAAACTGTTATCTTACAGGCTGGGTAACCACTACCTTTTCAGGCAAAACAAGCAATAAAACTGTAAAGAGAATGCACAGAGAAATGTTACAGCTGTGCGAGTATGTTCCAGTATAAAACATTCTGGATCTTTGCTGGGAATGAGCACAGTATGCAAGTAGATATACATTTGTAAAAATCTTCCAAATGCAAGGTCAAATCAGCACTTCCTGCCATTTTTTTAAATTAATATTATTATTATTTTTAAAAACCTATCTCTAATGTTACTTACCTTACTACAATTACATTACTGACCAGTTAAAGAAAATATGGACTACTTTGCTGGAAACCTTGCTTGACAGGCTTTCCAGCATAGTAATGGTGAGTACCTCATGATTAAGTCTGCCTATACAGCTCCATTACAGGAGTACATTTGACTTATTCTATTGACATACTTATGATAAACCAATCTGGAAGAAAAAAGGGACTGATAATATTGGATTAAACAAAACTTGGTTTAAATCTTTTAACGTAATTTTCTCTACAGCAGCATGCCTCTCTGTCCCATTTACACACACACACTCACTCACTCACTCGTGGCGAGTTGAGATGTGTATCACTTCCATCTGGGAAGGACAGGAACCTCTTAAGCAGATAGCTGCTTCTGATCTAGCCAACAGAAGTGTCTCCAGACATACAAAGTCAGATTGTTGCAAACAAGAAGAGTACCAAGCTGAGATAAATGCTAAAATTCTCAGAAAAGCACAGGGGGAAAATGTGAAGAGCTTAACTACATCATATGAAATGCATACCAAATGTTTTGCTTGGTTTCTAGCAATGAACGACCGAATACTAAGAACCTGCTCAGCACCTTCAGCTACCAACAGCGTCACCAAAGAAGAATGCCATTACTCCTGCAATGTTATGTCTTGCTGGCAGGCAGATACATGACTCACAATCATTCAAGAGAAATTATAATGTAAGTGCTAAAAACTGAAAGAAAGCGTACTTCCTAAGTCATGCTCCTCACTACTCATCATTCAATTAAAAGTGGGCACAGAGCACGCAGATGGGACAGTCGGTGAGAAAAACAAACACATACAGCACATCCAAGAGCTCTGTCCGCCTACAGGAATGTCTCTTCCCACGTCGCTACGGTGATACACGTACAAGTGGTCAATATGGAAGTTATTCACATGTTTGTGAGCGGTGAGGTACAATGGAAACACATCCTCTAGCAGATGTGTGAGACAATAATACTCTGTGCTACAATCCCAGCCAAGAAACCAAAGGAAATCAACTGGAAAACATCAACATAGACCATCCGGCAATTCATTTACCATAAAGAAGCCATCAACAAATGCAAATGTCACTTATCTCTCTCTTTCTGTTTAATTAATGAAGAAGCCTTAATTACTTTCTAGCCAGTGCTGCTCTAGCTACTTTAGCTGCTCACTGCAAAGGCAAAATTACCATGAGGAGAAAGTAGGAACTGAGGATCCTGTTTCTTTTAGAATTCTTTTTTTCTTAAGACTTCAGAACTTGTTCTGTTTCAGATTTTTCTCACCAGTTTAAAAAAATGCCAAATAATCATCACAAGCATGTCAAGTGTTATCAAATGTCAAGCACTACGTAGGCAGTGTAACCACCTCCTTTTTCAAACTACAGCAAGGGGGGGTGTTTCCACCTGCCATTCTACTGACAATGAGAAATTGAACAAAAAATTCCCTCTAGCTCTACATGAGAAGACAACACAGCAAAATTAAATGTACCCAGTCTCTCATTCCAAGACAAACTAAGACCACTGCAGGGCATCATTTTCAGCTCTAGCAGGAGCAGCAGTTCTGTGCATCACTTGATAACTATCCTCAGCAAGTAAAGAAGCACTCTGACAGCCAAAGGCAGTCCTGACCTTGGTAAAAATATAGTGACTACACCAATATGGAAAATCTGGTTTCCGTTTTGCAACATTTCCGAAATTGCAAAACTGGTTTGCTTTGCATCAGAATTTTTTTTTTTTTTGCCAAAGTGCTGAGAAAGAGACACCACAGAGCAAAAAGAAGTAGCTTGGCACCAGGATATTCATCTATGATTTGGAGAGATGAAGTCTCCTGCTCTGTC